GGCAAGGATGTTTAGCGTTGAGTTTTGGATTTTGTTAACTGCTAAAACAAGAACGAGTTTATCCGCGAAAATAGACACTTACTTGGAGATTCACGGTATATCGATGTCTGGAACCCGTCTGAAGATGTCGCCACAAACTCTGCCGACGCAAAGTCGCCTAACTGTCGACACAGCAATTGTGCTCGCCAGGCTGCGTTGTCTCGCGGTTGAAGGGCGATCAGCAGAGCGACGAGTCGAGCGTCCAACCTCATCAAGTTCCCTCTCGAAATGGCATTGAGCTCTGCTTCTGAGCCGCCTTATAACTCCCCCCCTAGGATCCAATCCTTTGTCTTTCAGGATATTTGCATTCGATTGTTAATATTGGAAGGTACAATCCGCATGTCTATTAACATACCGAAGAGTAATGTGCCCATTGTGTTTCATGCATGAATATGTAAGTGCATCTCAGTGTGTAATTGTGCGCTTATTTTGAATAAATGAAAAAACATTGTCCTCGATTTAAAGTGAATGCAGCCCCGTGGCGTTGCCAAAAACAGCCAAGCTTCGGGAGTGAGCACGTACAGACGCGTAGTGACCACACTTGCAATACAATCACTCTAACATGAGTAACCAAAATTCGATTTGGTACATGGTCTCCGCTTGGTCTGGTTTGTATCCGTCATCACTCCGGAGACAAACACGAGGCATGGTGTGGCTCGCCACCACCTCGTTTGCCGCAAGCGACTTTAATAGCCGCTCTCAAACAACACTATCACCAATGGTGGTTTACGGGCGAGGCTGTTAAGCGGACAATCAGTCGTTTTGGGCAAGGCGTATGGGAAAATACACACCTCTGTTATCCCATAAACACAATACACAGCATCTGTAAGGCTGCCTTGTTGGGGAGATGTATGTTTCGTAAGGTGCTGCAACTGGAGTTAGGCAATGTGACTGGGTTATCACACGGATTCCGAAAAGCAGCTTAGACGATACGATCCACTGCGCTCCATCTCCCCACATGAACGACGAGTTTTAAAAAAGTGGAATATATATTTGTAAATACGTTTTTTTAAATAATGTGTATTGTATCTATGTTACAATGTGTGATTGTTATACTCTTTATTTGTGTATACTGTATATACTTATATGGCTATTCGATTCCATTAATACGACACATTCATCCAACAGTGGACAGTGTGATTTTAACACGACTATTGGGATTCGAATAATTGTAATTCGATTCTAATCCTGCATATCCTACCCCCGTGTTCGCATATTCACTTACCACACGTACGACCACAGTGTGATTCTAAAACGAGCACAGTGCGATTCTAATGATTATTATGCGATTATAATCCCATACCTCCATTTACGTGATTATACACTATAACAATAAATAGTATTTTACGGAGTTATAATGAATAGGTTTTAGTTCATAGTTTATAATATTATATACTCTTTGGTTCTTTCAGTAAAAGACACATAGGCATTAAATAAATCACGACGTTTCAGGCGCAACACAAGCGTCCGTCATGTGTAAAAGCATGGTCTGCTGCTGAAGCAGACTGTTTTAAAAGGTTTGAAATGGGTGTAGACCTCGGGTCATAAAAAAGTGGCCGGGGCTAGTGATGTTCACGTGAGAAATTAGCATGTAACTTTAGAAAAGGAAGAGAGCGTCCTTCTCGACGAGGGAATAAAACCCAATAGGTAATATTCTTTTACAGCGTTACAATGGATAGGTTGTAGTATGTTAGAGCTTAACATGTGAGAGTCTACAATATCAGAGTTGATCAAATGCGACGATCAAGGGCGTCAATCGGGTGAGTTTGATCAGAGGCTTTAATCAAAGGCGTCATCCCATCACGGAACACCACTTCCCTGCGTATATCACAGCAACAGAAGCAACTACAGCAGCAACAACAGCAGCGACAACAACAGCAGCAACATCACATTTCGAGGGCGACGCAGCTACTTCCGATTCTGCTGCCCAGCTGTTTGCAGTCGGGACCTGCTCTCGCAGGACCCCACACGTCTTTGGAAATGATTGCGATGATCATGTCTGAGCTGAGAATTAAGTCACTCAAGATTACTTTGTTTAACCATAACTTTAGGTAGGTTAGTGTCATGAGGGCTGTGTGAATACTACTCATGAATGAAATCACACTCCTGTATGACCGACATTGTACTAATTTTGGTTGATCGAGTAGAACAAGTCACATGACATGTCCAGACGAATTCTTATCAACAACAGTGTCCTTAAATATGATGCTAAAATAAATGTTAACACTAAATTAAACGTGCACGTCGTAATCCCTCCCTCGCATTTACGACTAACGATTTGCATTTGCACATAACATACATTCAAGCACAGTAAAATGCTAATACGACATATTGTTATTCTAAAATTTGAATGCGATTCTTGCCCTGTACCCCCCACAGTTCACATATTCGACCCCCGGTTAGATCGAACAGATAATTTACGTACATATGTGTAGAGTGCGATTTTATATACTTCTAATGAGATTTAAATACCGTTCCTCCGTTTATGGTGCTATAAATTATAAAACCAGTTGATAATTTTTTTGTCGTTTAATGTTTAGTGTTATTGTTTATAGTGTTATCAATTTACATATTTTTTAAGTACAGGTGATTCCCGGTATACTTCGGTATTCTGGACCTGAACGTTGCGAAACGATTCATAACGAGGACCTTTCCCCACCAGAGCGCAAGCCGCTAATGAAAAGAACTCGAGGCGGCGGGAACACGTGCTTCCATGGGCAGTGGGGGACAGGGCATGGTTGTATTGCCTACAGGTGCCACCGGGTATGTCCCCCAAGTTGCTCCGCCAATGGCGGTAGAGGTCATAGAGGTGGGTGATGTAAAGACAGTGCATCAACTAAGGGACAATTGGTGACAACAAGATAGAGAGAGTTCGAGAAGGGAATGCGAGATCAAGTGTGGGCGGAGGTTCACGCCGAGAATGAGAGAGGGGGAGGAACGAGGTTCGGGGCTGTGTTGGCGGGGATTCGGGTCGAGGCTGGTTGCCGTCTAGTCGTCATCGTTGCTATATCGTGACACCTGGGTCCTAAGCCGCGTTAAAGGCTAAATAAAAGAACCATCTGCAGTCTGAGTCCGGAGTTATTGCAATTGTAACGTTTCATTATTTCACGGGCTAGTATTGGGTTTTTGCGATTATTTAACATATTCATACTGAATATTGCTATTTGATGCCATTGAGATGGAACATTCATCCAGCAGTGGACAGCTTGATCCTAATACCACCAAAGTGTTATGCAAATAATTGTAATCCAATCCTGATCCTGCACATTCCGTTTCACATATTCCACCCTTGGTTGTCACGTCCATATTACATACAGACATGTTACATACTCACGAGCATAGTGTGATTCTTAGAGGACCACGGTGTGAAGCTAAGAATTCGAATGAGATTTAAATATCACACTTCAATGTACGGTGTTCTAATCTATAATACTAGTTAATGATGTTATCTTATAGCGTTATAATGTATCGCTCATAGCTTATATTGTTAGAGTTCACAACATTATAGTTTACTATAACACTAGTTTGTAGTGTTATTTTAAAGCGGTACAATGTATAGCTCATAGTTTGAAGGTTATATTGTTAGAGTTTGTAATGTTAGAGTATACAATGTGAGTTTACAATTTGAGATTTTTTAGACGTGCCCTGTTCTCGTGGGACCCCACACGGATTTGGAAATAATTGCTATGATCATGTCTGAGCTGGAATGAGCGACTAACGTTTAACCTTGTTTAATCATAGCTGTGTGTAGGTTAGTGTCATCGGTGCTTAGTGAATACTACTCATGAATGAACTCATACTTCTTTCGGATAGAAATTTGAAATCGTGTTGGTAGAACAAGTTGCCTGCCTTTTCTAGACGAATTGTTATCTTCATGTGTGTCCGTAAATATACTGCTAAAATACACAGCATAGGGAAGGCTGCCTTGTTCTGGAGATGTAGTTTGGCTAAGGCGCTGTGGCCGTGTGATGACACGGATTCTGAAACATTGGAGTTAAACACTCCCTGCTTGGCCCCGTCGACAGCAGCGAAGGCTGTCATATACCGCCCCATTAACGAGTTGGCTGTATGATGTGTATAGTTGAAGGTGCTAGGTGTTGTCTTCTTCTAACAGCTACTAACGTGCGTGTGTTGTCTGGTTTTAGGATTTGTCCATTGTTGTTCTTTTTTTTTTGCTTTTTTTTTCTTGAGTTCTGTCACTTGTTGCAGTTTGAGAATTCGTCATGTGACAGTGGTGTTTTCCTAAGTGGGAATTTCGCTTTGGTACATTTTGTGATTGTTATAATAATTGTAACGATTCATAAGCTCGTTAGATAATAATGTGATTGTGCGTGTATTTATATATAAATATTATGTCTTTTGCGATTCGATGACATTGAGATGAGACCTTCATCTTGCAGTGAAAATCGTGATTGTAATATGACCATGTTGTAATTGTAATAATTGTATCCGATCCTTGCACGTAGACCATACATAATATGAACAGAGTGTGATTCTAATACGACCACACCGATTCTAATGCTTCTGTAGTGGTGGTATTGACGTGCGCCGGCAGTGAGGGATCACGGGGCGCGGGGTTGGGAACGCAGTGTGGGCGTGGCATGGACGCGCGCGCCGGTGGTGAGGCGCGCTCACACAAGCTGGGAAGAGAGGATCGTAGCGAGTGCGCAGTGATTGGTCAGATAAGTGGGTACTCTCAGCGACGTCCGCAGGAGGGGTATAAAGGGGGACGCGCGAGAGCACTCGTGGTCAGTGTTAACCAGTTGAAGACCGAAGACGGGGTGGAGGAGATAGGGGCCCTGTGTGGCTCGGAGCCGAGACTGGGGGGACCGTAGTCCGACGCCCGTGTGGGTCGGGACGGTGGTACCCAGAGCCGAGACGGGCACCCCGGCTGGGTGTGTCCCGGACGGCAACGGGGCGTAAGAGCCCGTGTCAGTACAGCTGAGTGGGTGTTAGTCACCCGTGTAACGAAGTCGTAGCTGAGTGGGTGTCCGTCACCCGTGTAGCTAAGTGGGTGTTGGTCACCCGTGTAACGAAGTCGTAGCTGAGTGGGTGTCCGTCACCCGTGTAGCTAAGTGGGTGTTGGTCACCCGTGTAACGAAGTCGTAGCTGAGTGGGTGTCCGTCACCCGTGTAGCTAAGTGGGTGTTGGTCACCCGTGTAACGAAGTAGGGTGTTAGGCATCCGTGTAACTACAAGTTGGTGAAAATAAAGAGTGTGCTACCCGTGAAGTCGTCTCCTGCCGAGTTACTACTTTACAACTGGCGTCAGAAGTAAACCTGTCTTCAAGGAGAAATGGACACAAGGAAGACTTCTCGTTCCCACGTGCAAGACCGGGGAGACGACGACGTACCGGTGACACCACCCTCGGGAGGAGAGGACGAGGAGTTGCCGCCGATGCAGCACTTCGCGGAAATGGCCGATGCTCCGCCCGCCTCCGACACCAGCCTGCAGGACGCACATTCCCGCCTGGCGGAGTTGCTGCTCGCCGCCGCTGCAATCTTGGCGGAGATCTCCGTTCCAGCGGCCGGAGGAACGCCTGCGGGGTTGGAAGAGGCGGCGCGGCTGGAGGGTTCCCGCCATACGGCGTTTCGCGCCAAAAGTTTGGGAGTTGGCGCCATTTTTGAGGGCCCGACTCCGCTTGGCGGGAAACGAGGACACCACGTGGCCAGAGGTCTCCACACAGCGCAGCCCGCGTCATCGGCGAGCGCCGGAGCTCTCCATTTTGCGCCTGCAGAGGGAGCCGACATTTTCTACAACCACAGCGGCGCGCGGGAAAATCGCTCCAACGACGACGACGACGATCGAGTTCTCCAGCAACGATTGCCCGCGCTGTCGGTGTTCAAGGCGGACGGGGGCGACTGGGGAGCCTTCCAGCGACGGTTCATCGCGCATCAAGAAATGTCGGGGTGGTCCGACACCACTGCCCTGCGCGCGCTGCCAGCGATGCTCGACGACGACGCGCTTGCGGCCTTCACGTCTGCCCCGAGGTCGTCCCGCTCCACGCTCCAGGCCGCGCTGCACCTGTTGGCCAAGGTGTTCGGGCCGCCCTCGACCTGTCGCCACCAGTTCTACGATCGGCGGAAGGTGGTTGGAGAAACAACGCTCGCCTATCGCACGGCGCTGCTCGCCCTGGCAGATTCAGCTTTTCCCCGTATGGACAAGGAGGGGAAGGACGCCATGGTGACGGAGCAGCTGCTGGCGCTGGCTCACGGATTGGGAGTTCCCATTAATACGGCGGACGAGATGGACATCTGCTCCCTGGGGATTGCCACGAGTATCCACGCTTACGAGGTCCTACAGCGGAAGCCGACGGTCGTCTGCGCATCGGTGGAGAACGGGGCACCGGCCGCCACGATCATCGGACCTCAGCCTGCTGTGCCTCGGGAGGAGGCCTTCGCGGGTTCGAGGCCGGGGGAGTGGAGAACGGGCGGTCGTTCGCCCACACGCTCCTCCCGCAAGCTGGAGCAACCGAAACCCACGACGTCCCTCGTCGTCTGCTACAACTGCGGCCTTCGGGGCCACGTCGCGTCGGGATGCCGGGCCCCGCGTCAACGCACCGCGGGACCACGTCCGGACGACGCCCAGGGACTCAAGACATCCCAACTGAACCCGGCAAGTCGCGGCACCTCACACGTTCGGTCCACAAGCACGGCACATTCGGGTCGCCGCTTAGCGGTGGGGGGACCGGGTATGGGCGCCGGGGGTTCGGTTCGGCGAGAGGGGTCCGCGTACGGCCCGAAGGCAGTCGAGTGGTCCGAATTAGCCCACAGGATTGTGGCTGCGTCGGCCGGGTCGTCCGTGGTAACGGGGTACATTGACGGGGTTGAGGTCCGGGTGCTCGTGGACACGGGTGCGTCGGCCACTATTATTTCGGACCTGATTTATAATATTCTTCCCGTACAATGTCGACCACTTCTGCCGGTGGACGTACCGTTTTACGCGGCAAACGGGGGATCTTTGGGAATCATCGGCCAGATTCGGGCGAATATTTGTATTGGCGACATTAAATTGGCGGGTCCTATTTTTGTATCATCATCGTTGGCCGTTCCTTGTTTACTAGGCACGGATTTTCTGTCTAAGATGCCCATAAAAATTCTCATAGACCAGGCCTGCATTGAGCTTCCATCGGGTCGGCGGGTTGAGTTTTTGAAAAGTCCAAATAAGATACGCACGGCTTGTGCGACGGTGCAGGCGCTGGCAACCCGGACTGTACGGGTGCCCCCGGGGTCGCAAATGTTGGTACCCCTTCGGTTGAGGAAACCCCTGGGGGCGGATGCGGGGGCGCAGGGAGTTCTATTGGGGCCGTCTAACAGGGCTAAAGGGGACCTCGACTTAGCGGTGGCCCAGACCATGGTGAGGGGGGACAGTGAGCCGTTCGTTGTGGTCCTGAATACGGGGTCGCGGCCGGCCGTGATTACGCAGGGAACGGTAGCTCGCTCACGCCGCGCCGCTGCCCGTCGAGGAACAGCTCGTTGCTCACGCCGATTCGCATGTCGATACGCATCCCCAAAGTGAGGAGGGGACGGAGTGGTTGGACTCGTTGTGTGCCGGGTCCAGTACCTTGTCCAGTGTGCAGAGGGGTGCATTGAGGGGCTTGCTGCTCGAGTTCGCTGACGTGTTTAGCAGGCACAAGTACGACATTGGCTGCACAGACCTGTTGCGCCACCACATAGAGACTGGGGATGCGGCCCCTATTCGACAGAATCCCTTCCGGCTCAGTCCAGCCGAGAAGGAGCATGTGCAGTCAGCAGTAAATGACATGTTGGCGGCCGACATCATTGCGCCCTCTTCCAGTCCGTGGGGTGCTCCTATCGTCTTGGTTAAAAAACAGGATGGATCCCTGCGGTTCTGTGTTGATTTCCGCCGCCTAAACAAAATATCAATGGCCGATGCGTATCCGCTCCCCAGGATGGATGAGTCGCTGGATGCCTTGGCAGGAGCACAGTTTTTTTCGACGCTCGATTTGCTTTCGGGATTTTGGCAATTGCCCCTCGATGACGAATCAAAACCTAAAACCGCTTTCCGGACACCGGGAGGCCTATTTGAGTTCAACCGATTGCCCATGGGTTTACATTCCGCTCCTGCCACGTTCCAGAGGCTCATGGAATTGGTTTTGTCAGGCCTTCAATGGGACACCTGTTTGATTTACCTCGACGATATCATCGTTTTCAGCCGAACTTTTGAGGAGCACCTCCAGCGACTGAGGGCAGTGTTTCTCAGGATGCGTTCCGCGAAGCTTAAATTTAAACCGGCTAAATGTTTTCTGCTTCGGGAATCGGTCAGGTATTTGGGCCATATCGTTAGCCGTTCGGGGATCTCGACGGACCCTGCTAAGACGAATGCGTCGGCTCATGGCCAACACCGACCTCTGTTACTGAAGTCCGCAGCTTCATAGGATTTGCCTCCTATTACCGTCGTTTTGTCAAACAGTTTGCCACCATAGCCAGGCCCCTGCACGCCTTGACGGCTAAAGGGGTGCGGTTTCACTGGGGGCCGGAGGAGGAGGCCGCGTTCTGCTCCCTGCGTGACGCCTTGGTGCAGGCTCCCCCCTTGTGTTACCCCGATTTCACGCAACCGTTTGTGCTCGACACGGATGCCAGTAACACGGGTATCGGGGGAGTGCTCTCACAGGTGGTCGGGGGGGTCGAACGGGTGGTCGCCTACGGTAGCAGGGTTCTGTCCCCCGCGGAACAACGCTACTGTGTGACACGGCGTGAATTGCTGGCGATCGTGTTTTTTATACAGCAATTCAGGCCGTATCTGTATGGCCGTCACTTTACGGTTCGCACGGACCATGCGGCTCTCCAATACGCTATGCGGGTGGCGCAGCCATCCGGCCAATTGTCCCGATGGTTGGAGGTCCTTCAGGACTACCAATTCACGACGATTTACCGCAAGGGGTTGCGCCACTCGAATGCGGATGCATTGTCACGGTTGCCGACGCGTACGGAATGCGCATGTCAGTTGGGATCGGCGCGGTGTAAACCTTCTGTCGATGTTCCCGCGGAAGTGGTGCTAGCCGCCACGGATACGACGGGGGTCGACGCCCCCACGGGGAGGGACTCGCTGTTAGCATTGCCTCTCATCGAGTGGGGCCGTCTGCAAATGGCCGACAGCTCCCTACTCGCGCTACGTCGGAAGGTTAACGTTCCCGAGGGCGGGGAAACGCGGGTCGGTTCCTGGGTGTGCAGACAGGGCCTCTTGATGAAGTGGGACTCCATGTCCCGGCGTCACGTGCTTGTGGTGCCGGTTGCTGTACGGGGTAAAGTCGTCCTGGCTGCCCATGAACGACTCATGCACCTGGGGTTTCACAAAACGCTCGCCCTCATTCAGCGAGACTACTATTGGCCTGGGATGGGCAGTGACGTGGCGAACATTCTTAAGGGGTGTGTAGGGTGCGCTAAAAGAAAACCGCCACCAATAGCGGCTAATCCACCGCTTCAATCCATTCAAGTTTCGCGCACGAACGAATTGGTCGCGCTAGACATCTTGGGGCCCTTTCCCACCACACCTCGGGGAAATAAGTTCCTGCTGGTTGGCGTAGAGTACTTCACCCGCTGGCCCATGGCGTGGCCACTCGCCAACCAGTCGGCTGCGGCGGTGGCGGACGCCTTTGTCCAAGGTTACGTTTTGGACAAAGGCGCCCCCGAACGCTTGCTCACGGATCAAGGGAAAAACTTTTCGAGTGTTTTGTTGCGCGAGGTGTGCGACCTGTTGGGTACGAAGAAAGTACGTACCTCCCCGTACCACCCGCAGACTGACGGTATGGTTGAACGTCTGAACAGGACGATTACGTCTATGCTGTGCCAACAGGTATGCGACGACCAGGTGGATTGGGACTTACAGGTACCGGGGGTACTAGCGGCCTATCGGATGGCACCCCATGCGGCGACGGGGTTTTCTCCATTTTTTCTGATGTATGGGCGGGAGGCTGATCCGGCCATGGACGTCCAACTGGGGATTTCACAGCCACGTGCAAAATCTAAATTGGCAGACCACATTAAGTTTAACATCGCCAAATTGGGGGAGGCGCGAGAGGCTGCGAGATTGAATTCACGCTCTCGGCAGATCGCGAACGAGCGATTGCATGAACGGAAGGTGCGTACGCACAATTGGGAACCGGGCGATAAAGCCTGGCTGCATTGTCCACACGCACCGTTGGCTACGTCCCCCAAACTGTTGAGACCGTGGAGGGGACCGGTGGAAATTGTGCGGGTTGCACGACCCCAGAGTATACAGATTAAATGGGGAAAACGCCGTTGGTACGTGCACCCCTCCCGACTGAAACCCTACGCGGCGCCGCGTGACCCCGGGTTGTGCCGTGACGACCGAGCGTGGGATGTGACCGTCGACTCGGGGAGGGATGTGTCGCAGGCTGATCCTCACGTGTCTCCACCTGACCCACCCCCAGGTGTCTCGGACCTGACGGCTGTTGACCGTCGGGAACCGGAACCCCGGGGCTCGCACGGAGCCCCGATGCCTGTCCCATGCCTCCCTGAACTGCCGGCGCTGCCGGATGGCCAACTGCGTCCTGTGCCGTACGACGGTCCGGCAAGGCGGACTCGATCAAGGACGCAACACTTTTCATGAAAAAAAAAAAAAATATATTCTTTTTTTGTTAAAGCCCGACTTCGTTGCCGGCTTCCCCCCCTCTGCCGGGGTAATGTCCCGTTCAAGGGACGCTCGGACATTGGGACATTGCATGAGTCGGAGAGAAAAGAAGAGAAAATGATTAAAGAAATTTTTTTTTATTGTTACTCTTTCCACATACACAGTATCGTTGCCACTCGCCGGATTGTGCATGTTGTTCTTGTTGCGGGTGGGGCGGTTGCTGGGTTTTGCGGATTGCGGTGTTCATGTTGTGTTATGTTACGGGGCACACATGGGAGTGAAGGGGTGTTGTATGGTTTATTAGCAGCCGGGTCGGCTGCGAGCTATGTGGTAGGGGGTGATGTAGTGGTGGTATTGACGTGCGCCGGCAGTGAGGGATCACGGGGCGCGGGGTTGGGAACGCAGTGTGGGCGTGGCATGGACGCGCGCGCCGGTGGTGAGGCGCGCTCACACAAGCTGGGAAGAGAGGATCGTAGCGAGTGCGCAGTGATTGGTCAGATAAGTGGGTACTCTCAGCGACGTCCGCAGGAGGGGTATAAAGGGGGACGCGCGAGAGCACTCGTGGTCAGTGTTAACCAGTTGAAGACCGAAGACGGGGTGGAGGAGATAGGGGCCCTGTGTGGCTCGGAGCCGAGACTGGGGGGACCGTAGTCCGACGCCCGTGTGGGTCGGGACGGTGGTACCCAGAGCCGAGACGGGCACCCCGGCTGGGTGTGTCCCGGACGGCAACGGGGCGTAAGAGCCCGTGTCAGTACAGCTGAGTGGGTGTTAGTCACCCGTGTAACGAAGTCGTAGCTGAGTGGGTGTCCGTCACCCGTGTAGCTAAGTGGGTGTTGGTCACCCGTGTAACGAAGTCGTAGCTGAGTGGGTGTCCGTCACCCGTGTAGCTAAGTGGGTGTTGGTCACCCGTGTAACGAAGTCGTAGCTGAGTGGGTGTCCGTCACCCGTGTAGCTAAGTGGGTGTTGGTCACCCGTGTAACGAAGTAGGGTGTTAGGCATCCGTGTAACTACAAGTTGGTGAAAATAAAGAGTGTGCTACCCGTGAAGTCGTCTCCTGCCGAGTTACTACTTTACACTTCTAATGAACCTGCGTTTATGTGGTTTTATATGGTTCTAAATTTAAACACTAGTTTATAATCGTTTAATGTTTAGTGTTTATAATGTGTTTATGCGTTTATTTATGAATAGAAAACTGTCTATTGCTCTTCAATACCATTGAGATGTAACATTCATCCAGCAGTGAAAATCGTGATTCTATAACGACCGTAGTGTAATTGTAATGATTTTAATCCGATCCTTGCACGTACACTATACATACATATGAGCAAAGTGCTATTATAATAAGACCACACTGTGATTCTATTGCTTATAATGATATTCTAATACCTTACCTCCGTTTATATGGTTCTAAATTAAAACACTAGTTTACAATCATTTAATGTTTAGTGTTATCGTTTATAGTATTACAGTTTACATGTTATAGAGTACAGTTTATCCCCGACATACTTCGGGATTAGAGACTGGTACGTTGATGAACGATTAACCACGGGGAACTTTCCCCTCAAGGAACACGTGTTAATCGGGTAGACAGCCAAGATGATGCCAGTTCAGGGCACACTTGTGTGACGGAGATCCTCCACCTGAAATTCTCTTAACATGTTTTTGCTAGGAACATTATAAAATAAAGAACGGACAAACATTTGTTAAAAATACGTTTTTATTCATCTGCAATCATTTTTACGTCAAAACTCGAAGGGAATATTTATTATGTCCTATGTTCACACATTTCCAGTACAATGCAAACCATTTCTGTTCCAGGAATACCAAAGCGTTAAAGTATCATTCCCCATGATTTCCTTATTAGTTCACCACATTGGTTCACTGTGCATCTATGTTGAAGTCAAGGCCATATATCCAACGAACGCGTCATCAATGTACATCCTTAAATCGTATATCTAAAGTCGATTAATACCAACCAAAAAAAGCTATATACTTGAAAAAAACTTTAAAATGTTGAGTAAAGATATACCTCCAGACGCATTCCATCTTTAGCTCAACAGGAACACTTAACGACTACAATTGAACCCTCTCACAACCAGTGCTCATCACACCACTTCGGCAAGTAATCCGATAACATTACAAACGACCACCTGGCACGCCATTAAGCTCTCACAAAAACTGTAAAACTAAAATGGTCAAAATGACACACAAAAGTACTCGATATGGCTTAATAGGTATAACAACATGACATAATATTTTTTCAGTCACCCCGAGCTCTCTGGTTGACTCTCGAGCCACTCCATTACATCCAGCCATCTCTCGGGATCCAACTGCATGGGATCGAAGGTGGAAACCTCTTCAGGACTCATTGCAGCACCTTGAATTTCAGCTTTTGATTTCAGTTTCCTATCATTGTGGACCTTCTGATGCCTGTTCATGTTTGATGAGTGTGTAAAGGCCTCCCCACACACAGAGCACAGGAATGGCTTCTCGCCCGTGTGTGTTCTCTGATGGTCTTGAAGAGTTGACGAGTGTGCAAATGCCTTACCACACACAGGGCAAATGCCTTACCACACACAGGGCACAGGAATGGCTTCTCACCCGTGTGTGTTCTCTGATGACTCTGAAGATGTGATGACTTCGCAAATGTCTTCCCACACACAGGGCACAGGAATGGCTTCTCGCCCGTGTGCGTTCTCTGATGAGTTTGAAGAGTTGACGATTGTGCAAATGCCTTCCCACACACAGGGCACTGGAATGGCTTCTCACCCGTGTGTGTTCTCTGGTGGCTCTGAAGATGTGATTGCCGTGAAAAGGACTTACCACACACAGAGCAATTGAATGGCTTCTTGTCTCCGTGTACGTGGGGCTGTGGAAAGCGTCTCTGCTCCATGTGAGCGTAGTAACAGCAGCGGTGTTATCGAGTCAAAAGTTCGCTATCGGCCGCAAGGATGTTGAGCGTTGAGTTTTGGATTTTGTTAACTGCTAAAACAAGAACGACACTCGCGTCTAACCGAGACGCAAAAAAATCCCGCTAATTTGACGACGAACACGTTTAAGAGTTTATCCGTGAAAATAGACACCTACTTGGAGATTCACGGTATATCGATGTCTGGAACCCGTCTGAAGATGTCGCCACGAACTCTCCCGACGCAAAGTCGCCTAACTGTCGACACAGCAATTGTGCTCGCCAGGCTGCGTTGTCTCGCGGTTGAAGGGCGATCAGCAGAGCGACGAGTCGAGCGTCCAACCTCATCAAGTTCCCTCTCGAAATGGCATTGAGCTCTGCTTCTGAGCCGCCTTATAACTCCCCCCCTAGGATCCAATCCTTTGTCTTTCAGGATATTTGCATTCGATTGTTAATTTTGGAAGGTACAATCCGCATGTCTATACCGAAGAGTAATGTGCCCATTGTGCATCTCAGTGTGTAATTGTGCGCTTATTTTGAATAAATGGAAAAACTTTGTCCTCGATTTAAAGTGAATGCAGAGAAATTAGCATGTAACTTTAGAAAAGGAAGAGAGCGGCCTTCTCGACGAGGGAGTGAAACCCAATAGGTAATATTATTTTACAGCGTTACAATGGATAGGTTGTAGTTCATAGGTTATACTATTATGTTTCACTATGATAGAGCTTAACATGTGAGAGTATACAATATCAGAGTTGATCAAATGCAAGCAGGCTACCTTGAGAGCGATCGCGAATGGGTTGCGTGTCTGGAAGAAGCCTCGCTCTTTCAGATGCCGTACCAGCTTCGTCAACTCTTCGCTACGATTCTGCTGTATTCCATGCCAGCAGATACGAAGGATCTCTGGGATAAATTCTACGACGAATTGGCTCGCGATTACGAGTACCAGTACCGCGAGCTGACCAACAAAGAACAAATGGTAAAGTTCAAGACCCTTCACAGCCTCCACGAGTTCCTCACGGCAGGTGGGATGGCTCTGTCGGACTTTGACGACCTCCCGCAGCTTTCCGAGTACCCACACTTGGTCTTGGACTCGCTGCTTGCGAAGAACCATATCTGCCTCGAATTGGAAGGATATGATAAAAACGAGCTACAAGACATCGTAGAAGATGCTGACAGACTCAACACGAACCAGACAGAAATCTACGACGAAATTGTTGGCTCAGTCGAAGACAGTCAACCCGATCAAAAGCTGTTCTTCATCGATGGTCCGGGCGGCACGGGGAAGTCCACGCTGCTCAACCATGTGCTGGCGAAGATACGTCTTCAAGGCAAGATTGCGATTACTGTTGCTTCCAGCGGCATTGCCTCGCTGCTGCTTCCAGGCGGCCCTACCGCACATTCCACGTTCAAGATCCCGTTGAAACCGACGAACATATCCACATGCTTCATTCGAAAACAGTCCAAGCTCAAAGCATTTATCAAGGAGGCAAGTCTTATCGTTTGGGATGAAGCCCCAATGACGCACCGGTTTGCGTTTGAAGCGGTGGATCGCACGCTTCGCGATATTTTGGACAATCTGTATGAACCGTTTGGAGGCAAAGTGGTTCTCCTGTCCGGTGACTTTCGACAGATTCTTCCAGTTGTCAAGAAAGGAACACCAGCTGATACTGTGGATGCGTGTTTCAAGTCGTCCGACCTGTGGTCCCACATCAAGCAAGTTCATCTGACTGTGAAGATGAGAGTCCAGTGTGCAGAGAACAAAGAATCAGCCGCAGAACTTGCTGCCTTTTCAGATTTTCTTTTGAAAGTCGGAGAGGGTAGGCATGAAGTTGATCCAGACCTCGGTCCGGATTGCATCAAGATTCCGCGTGCCATGGTGATCGACAATCCTCAATACGACCCAGACATCGACGGAGATGAGGACGGCAATCATCTGCCCGTTTCACTCGGGTTGAAGAGGATTGTCGATGCCATGTACAGTGCAAATGAATTGAATTACCCTACGGTGGCAACGAGCGACTACTTCGCTCGCCGCACTATTCTGACGCCGACCAACGCCGCTGTGCAGCGAGTGAATGAGGCTGTCGCGGATCGCCTCAGAGAAGCTCCACAAGTGTACCTGTCTACAGATTCGGTTGAGGACGACGAGAGAGCAGGGTCAGCATTCTTTGAGACAGAGCTCCTCAACTCGGTGAACATCAACGGGGTTCCGCCACACAAGTTGATCC